CATGCCGGACCCCCGCGAATGGGAAGCCGGGGCCCCACTCGGACTAGCCCGTTAACAGCTCACCGAGGACCATGTTTCGTCCATTGAGGAAAAACGTGGCACGGCTCAGCCCCTCTGTTTTATCGAAAAAGACGCTTGAGGGATGACGATCACAAAGACGAGCCGACCCTCGACCGGACCCCTGCTACGCGCGGGGGCTCGAGGGAAGTTGGACTCGCAAGGAGACCGAACACGCGGTCGCAGTACGACGGCGGACCGATCGGATCCTAAGGGACCGAAATCAAGAAAAATCTTTCCGACCTCCCGAATCCTACGGTTACATACCCCAAGAAGACCGATCGCGACAAAAGGAAATAGCTGTCCTACCAGGAACATCGAACAGAGTGACCATACAAGACTTCAAAGGTGATTTCTCCAAAGCTGAATGATGTGAGGTGTTGTACCAAAACTCAGCTACTTCAATCCATTTACTCCACTTCTTTGGACATGAATGAACCAGGCACCTCAAGAATGTCTCAAGACACTGCTTAAGTCTTTCGTTCCGTCCATCGGTTTGTGGATGGTAAGATGAGCTCATCAACGGCTTGGTGTCAGATAACCTGAATAACTGCTGCCAAAAGTTGCTGGTGAACACCCTATCCCTATCTGTAATTATTGCCTTTGGAAGGCCACGGAGTTTATAGACCTGACTGAAGAATGCTTGAGCAATCTGAGCAGCAGCGAATGGGTGTGCAACAGGGATGAAGTGTCCATACTTGGAGAACTTATCCACCACAACAAGAATTGCATTATGTCTATCAGATTGGGGCAAACTCTCAATGAAATCCATGCTCACTACCTCCCAGGCCTGTTCAGGAACAGTAAGAGACTCCAGTAATCCAGGCAGTTTGATGTGTTCAGTCTTGGCCTGTTGACAGACTTGACAGTGCTGCACAAACTGTTGAACAGAGCCTTTAAGACCAGGCCAATCAAAGAGGTGATTCACTCTGCTATATGTAGTTGTGATCCCTGAGTGACCACCAATCCCTATATCATGCAGTGCTTGCAGTATACGTTGCTGGGCCAACTTAATTGCCCACCCAAACTCTCCCATTGTATCTGATGACTCCATCATGGAGTGTGTAGCCTCTGCTGTTAGTACAGAGGCCATCCCTAGCGACTCGACAGCACTGCACAGGACATCCCTGTCCGCTGACCTCGCTGCGCCCAGGACTGATGCGCCGAAAGCAAGCAAAGACCAATGACTTTTTCGGCAGTAAGAAAAAAGAAAAGAAAAAGGAAGTCGACAACCGGATTGGGAATCTGGTCGGGTGGTCGATCAGCTTTGGGCCATCTCACGGCTGTAAGCTGCTGGCCTGTATGTGCCTAGCAGCTGCAGTGCCTTGTGCCTGCCTCGACACATATCCTCAAGGATGAGCCACCACCGGCCGATATGATACTGTGCTCCACTTACAGTAAGTCGTGAGGCAGCTAGATAGCCAAAGGATCATACGACGGTAACATGCTACTATATATGAGCCTTTAGCTAGCTAGGTATATATATAGGCCGTAGTAGCCCTTTATTTCTTGTGCAGTTTGTGGCTTGAAGATAGGAGGTAGCTGGAGAAGGAAGCGGCCGGATCCCAACATATCGATCGGTTTGCGTGACAGATTCCGATCTTCCGATGAGACCGCCGATCTCAACAGTGGAGGTCTTCTTCGAGCGAAACCCGGCTCGATCCTCCGTCCGAACCATTGCTGTGTTAAGCAAAGAGGCACAGAAGCAGCCACTTTAAACTTTTCTTCTTCATCTTCTTCTTCCGTCCAGAGGGGGGAATGAATCAAGGAAGAAATTGGAGAGCGAGGCACCAGATGCAAAGGCTTGTAAGTAGGCTGCAATTATTTGGCTGTGGCTGCAGCTTATTGCAGTTATACTTACAGTATAGTCTAGTTTACTTTTGCAGCCAGAACAGCAGCAGCCGGCTGCAAGAAGCTGCAGCAATCGCTCTGGGCCATAATGAAGCGTGAGGCACAACAGCGTCATTCGGGCGTGCAGTGATGGCGTGTGATAATTGCGCAAGTGCAATTCACAGTGCAAAGCCCATGTTTGATAGTTCTTGCCGTTCAGCGCAAGAACCGACACCTGCCTCTTTATGATGTCAGATTGGCCTATTCATTTATGCAAAAAATCTTCAGGTAAATAAGCATAAAAATAAATATGTATTTCGATTAGTAAAGATGAACCGTAAAGCAAACATATCTTAACTATAGCAATAAGATAGGGTAAAAAATTGACGTGCCATCATAAAATAATTCCACGTCCATTTTAAATTTATTATCCACTTTCATAGAACTAGGAAAAGAAATCATGCGGAGTACTTGCAATTAGGAGTAGTTGTAATGAGAGTAAACTATTATTTATGCACCAACATAAAGAATGCCAATTCTACTAGAATTTAATATCCACGTTCGTGCAACTAGCAGCAGTAATCATACCCACATAGAACTTCAGGTTTTTAATGTTGCGTGACCTTTCAACGTGGATTATCAGTAGTTTCTTGTAGCGTTGTTCATGGTCATGGTAACAATAAGCGACGCATATCAATCATGGCGTGCGGACTAGCACAACGCACGAGGAAGATCACCAGCAGGGTGTACCACACAGAACGTGTATAAAGTGGCTTGAAGACCAGCTAATTCAATCCGATCCATTCACAACGACAACATCAATATGCAAAGGAACTTCTGGTCCATGGTACAAAGAATACGTACATATAGCTAGGAAATTTGTATCGACAAAGGATCCAGGAAAACAACAATAAAAAAATACTAAATTTAGCCGCAAGATGATTCATCAACAGGATGAACCCTATAAGCTACAGGCTTACGATACTAGATTATAAGAACTAATTATAAAAGAAAAGAAGCCAGAGAGAAAAGTTTAGTGATGATGAAGATAGTACCTTAACTCAGAGGAGAGCTGCTGATAACGTATTATAATATGTAGTAGTTATGGATCTTCGATCCGTCGCCCAAGCAATAAGAGACGTGAGAATTAGTAGAATATCCCGTCTCCCGTTTTTATTGCAAGATCACAGAAAGTAGAATGACACTATAGTCAAAGTATTTGTGGAACCAGTCTTCTCTTATTTTTTATCATCGAATAGTGAATACATAGGTTCCTTATATAGATAGAAGATGACCCTTTAACTTCTTCAGTTATAACTCTTGAGCTCTTGAGCTTCAAGAGTTAATTCGATATAAGCCCACTAGCATAATTAGTTTCATAACAGGTGGTACCTACAGTAGCCTTCTCTGGGCCGGGCGGCATTTCATTCAGGAGCACGACGAGCGAGCGAGCCAGCGAGGAATTTCGAAGAAGAAAAGCCAATGGCCGAATCGGAGGAGCTAGGGGAGTATTCGGCTGCCATTGGTACAGTATTTTTCTCTTCTATCAAATTAGCCGTACAAATCAACAGTCACGAATGGATAATAACCATTGTTCCACTTGCTTCTGCTCTTTGTTCCCCAAAAGTAAACAAATGTTGCTTGTACTCCTACGTACGCCATTGCCGCAAGCTAAGCTCCCTAGTAATGTCAGTACACGTGCATACGACTACTGGCCATATGCCTGAGCAGTGAGCACGGCAGCAACAAGTTAAGCAAGCCGGCCTTGCGTCCAGTGGCGGAGCCGGGGGGGGGGGGGGGGCGCTGGCCCCCTAACATTTCACAATAATAAAAATTAGTAGTATGACTTAATATTTTTTATTTATATTAAGAGAGAGATTATATAAAATTTTAATCATATATATCTATTAATATCTTCTAGATAATATAATCATACAAAACACAACTAGATAATAAAATTATCACAGAAAAAAAGACCGAGTCGGTACTCAAAATCTACAAAGTCACCCTAGACATCTTGCTGTTAATGGGCATGTCACTTACCACTGAAAAAATAGCGCCTTAGATCCTATGATACATATAAGAAACTGCGAGCACCCGTTCAAGTCAATGAATTAATTCCGACAGTCATTACAAGGAACCTAACGAGTTGAGTAGCACTTAGTTTTTACATGTTGGCTCTTTTGGCTGGCCCCCTAAGTATAATTCCTTGCTCCGCCACTGCTTGCGTTCCACTCGTCCTGCCTTCTTCGGAGAAGGCCCTCGGCTGACTTAAAAAACAGCTGATACTGATATGTTGTTGGAGAAAATATTATTATTTCGTTGAAACAGTACGGCTGATAAGTTAAAACGAACAGACCTGTGTATGTGTACCACGCTACCACATTGCCGCAGACCGTAGGTCCTTATAATAGTTAACTAGGAAGATACACACGCTCCGCGGCGCGAGCCAGGGAAATAAAAGATGAAAAGCAAAGGAAAAAATTGGAAAAAGAAAAAAAAATTAAAATAAAAAATTTTAAAAGTGTTGCGTCAGCTACAGTGCTAATGGTGGCCGAATCGCTGAGAGGGAAAAAATGAGAAAAATAAAAATAAAATTAAAACGAAAAATATCGCGTCAGCTACAGTGCCTAACAGTGCCGAATTGCTGAGAGCCCAGAATTCCTGGCGTGTTAAAGGAAGTAGTTATACTAGCTCGAGTTCAGTTTTCATCTCTTATCTATGATAAGCAGTTCACTCAGATTTGATTAGAGAACTTACCCTCCTTTTCCATTGTTTTTTTTTAGGAAGTCGGGAGGGGAGGCCCCTACCTAATTGTATTAATATTGAAAAATGAACTGTACATATACAATGCCAAGGTAACAAAGAGAATAGAAGGAGAACTGCAGAGAAATAGAGGAGAAGAAAATAGAAAAAGAAAAAGAGGTAGGGAAAGAAAATAAAAAGAGAAGATAAAAGAAGAAGAAGAAACAAAATTTAATCTAAAACCAGCTTGATCTAGTGGCTTCATCTCTTTGCAGCTTAAGAGAATTTCTTCAACTTTTGAAAGTATGTCCTCTGAACTAGAGTCCGCATCCATATTGGAACCATTAACTTATCGCACAAGAACATCATCACGCTTCTCCATTTCCGGCCAAGATTGCCAGGAAAGATAAACAAGAACCTAATTGATGTTCTTGGCTGAGCGCAAGAGAAAGGAGGCGCCTTTGATGAGCACGCGGCGGCCGGCGGCGCTCAGCGGAGGCGCAGATCCCGAGCAGCGCGAGGAGGCTGGCCCGCCGCGTCCGCTTCTGCGCGCCGGGGCGGAGCCCGTCGAGCGCGAACGTGACTTCGTCCATGCTCTCCATCATCTCTCCGTACTCCTCCACCTCCATCAGCGTCGCCGTCGGCGCCACCGCGGGGGCTTCCACGAGCTCCCACCCTCCTCTTCTTGCCCCGCCCTGGCCGCGCCGCCTCCCCTCCGGGACCGCGGCGGGGACGGAGGCAGGTCCTCGTCGAAGTCCCACATCGAGGAGGACTCCTGCGACGGCGGGAGCGGGAGCGGCTGCGAGGCCGACGACCCCAGCACGTCGTCGGCGGCGTCGAAGTCGAACGCTTCCCCCGCCGTCGGAGAAGGAGCAGGATCTGCACCCGTACGTGCGCAGATCATGGCGCCCGCACAGTGGCGGAACAAGCAATCCTGATTAAGGGGTCGGACAAATATGATAGCATCTCTACGTGTAATAAATATATACATATAAATGTATGTCTTAACAATTTTTTCAATGTTTTTACATATATAATTAGTATTCATAACCAAAAATCACATGAGAAACACGGTTTCAACTTGTGATAGGTAAGAAAACATTTTGTGAGAGGTAAGAAAACATCAGGTGGCAGGTTCAGAAAAATAGTGATATAGATTATATGGAATAAAATGTTCGTCACACATGATAGCACTAAAGTATTGAATCTCCTTAATTCTGACGACAAAAAGAAAAGATAATCGCCTAGTGCATCATATAAGTATGGGTATTTAGCACCTCTTATTTTGTTTGGTCAGGAGGAAATAGACATACTACTGCAAAAGAAACTGAAAAAGCTGCAAGGAGAGGCGCATAATTATGCGAGAGGAGCATGCCACCTACTAGTAGACAAATGGCTGCTTCACTAAAGCGGAAGAGTTTATCAGGGCCCGTTTAGTTGTCGGCCGAATTGGGGCCGCCTCAAATCTGGCGTCACTGTAGCGTAATATAGTATTTCATTTGTATTTGGTAATAATTATCTAATCGTTGACTAATTAGGTTCAAAACGTTCGTCTCGCAAAGTACAACCAAACTGTGCAATTAGTTTTTGATTTCGTCAATATTTAGTACTCTATACATGTACCGTAAGTTTGATGTGACGGAGAATCTTCTTTTTATATAGTGCCAAAGTTTGGATTCCGGATAACTAAACAAGGGCCAGAACTTATACATCCTATCAAACTGCAGGGGGAGGGGCCACGGCCCCTGCTGGCACCCCTGGCCATCTTCGGTTGAACTTGAGAGCGTCGATCGATTTTATAGAGGTTGGTCAGTGAAGTTGTTTACTTATGAATGATGCTGCAACAGACGGTGTACGTTAATAACGTGAGCTAAAACTTCGACACGCGTGATGTCTTCCTCTTTGCTAGATGCTAAGTAGCGCCCAGGGTAGCGCGAATCCTGGACATTATATAAGCGGGGGGAGGAGGACGGCGAAAACAGAAACCGTGTCAATATTTTCGGAGAGATGTGAGAACTTGGAGAGGAGATGCAGTCCCATCCCCACCAAGGCGGCGGAGGCCTCGACGAGGCGGCGCCACACCACCGCAACCCTGTGGGGGTGGCGACAGGCGGAGCCAAGGGGGGCCATGCCCCCCTCCCCTAACCATACAAACTTTTTTATATATAATATATATAATAAATAATCTATGATTATATTAAAAGAGTATAATAAAGAAAATCTTCTTATATTGTTTATTGATATCTCTTAGACAACAAAATCATAAAGAATATAATTGGAATAAAATATTTTGATTTATCTAAATTTATTTGCCTACCATATTAGGGTATATCTATTAATTTTTTTGGTTTACTAAAATACTTATGTTTCATTATACTTCATATTTTATTGAACGCGTATTTAATTAGCAATAACAACTGGGTGACAATCCCTTTTTATTGTGAATCACAGTATAAATGTAGACGCTCATGTACTTGCACAGCCGCACGTACGCACACTCCTATGATCAAACACACATATTACTCCACTATGAGCACTTTTAAAATACTAAGCTAGTAGATTTCAAGATTTATATGAGTAATCACATGTGCCCCGTTGTCGACAAACACGGTTACCTCCCACGGGTATGAACACTTTTGAAATGCTAAGAGGGTAGATTTCAATATTCATGAGTCATCACATGCGCCCTACTGTCGATAGACACGGTCATCTAATACGTGAAGAATGACGAGCATATGGTTAAATCATCAAATACTAGATTAAATTCAGAAAATAGGAGCCAAACCCCGGGACAAAAAAATAAATAAATAAGATACACTCAATTCTCATATTTTGAAATTCTTCAACCGCCCCCTATGCATAATTCCTGGCTCTGCTCTTGGGTGTCGGCTCCCCCCATGCTGATCTTGATCTTGCATTCTGAGATGAGAGGCAGATCTATGGCTTGGGAGTTCGCTGATTTTATACAGGTTTGTTCCTCTCAGTGCAGGAGTTTTTCCTGATACCTTACTCGGAATGATTCTGCTGCACTAAGCATAGCTGATTTTACTAAAGAACCTTCTTTGTTTCTAACGGTCTACATTTAGGTGCCGTTTGGTTCAAGAAAAGGAACGGCAACGGGAAGTAAATGGATAAAGGACGGTAAAGGGAATGGAACAGGTCCTTAATTATTTTGTTTGGTTGGGCAATCATTCACTGCTGGAACCTTTACCTGTCCAAATCGAGCGGGAATGAGTTTGTGAAAGCGCGGTTTCTGTTGCCCGGCAACCGGTTACGTTATACATTAAACAAACAAAAAGTAACGTAACTGGTTGGCGCTGTGATCAGGTCACCCCGCAAAGCCACCGAACCAAACAGTTCCTTAAGCTGTGCTCACACTTCGACAAGTGTATAGTGTATGTACTGTGCAAGGCTGCTAGGGGAGGGTTTTGTTGATTCCCAAATCCCAATGGATATTTTGCCTTTCACTATGTTCAATAGTCAATGTAAGTATCACAGATCAGTGTAGAATACATACAATATGCATCAAATGATGGTATTGAAAAATATAGTTGTCAGTTGTCACTAATGTGGGACATCCAAGACTTGAGAACCAAAGTTACTCAAGAAAGCACCACCAATTATGTTCGCCATGTTGTTCTTTGGGGTTGTGCCTTCATGAGACTGTTCCCTGAAGGTATAAATTGAATGGCGATGCTAATAACCGTCCATGTAGATAAATTAGTTCCTTACCATGCATTCAGTCAATATTGCGTTAGACGGCACTGTACTGGTTCTAAATTGATGAATGGTCTTTTTATTTGCCAATGATGCATTAGATGCCACTGTATTGCTTTGTGGATAAAAAAAAGAGTTTTTTTTTATAACCCGCTTGTTTTATTCTAACAAATTCTATATGGAACTGCCCGCTGAAGAGAAAATCGATCTGATTGTCTCTAAGTCTATATCGAATTTTGGAAAGAAAAAACCAGAATTTTCTTCTTTTTTTATTGACATTAAGAAAAAAGAATATAATTAAAATGGAATTGGCAATATAATTTTTATGCACTTTTGAAATGAAAGAAAAAGGTGACAAGGCTAATTGGTGTTCATCGGAGAACAATGCTGTGTTCTGTGACCTATGCGTCAAAGAGATAAAAGCAGGGAATAGGAGCAATGGTTTGATGACCCGTAGAGCGTATACAAACATAGCTCAGAACTTCTATTTACAAACTGGGTTAAAACATTCAAAAACTCAGCTTAAAAACAGATGGGATCAACTAAAGGCCTGTTTACCTTTTGGATATGGCTCAACAAACAAACCGGACTTGGCCGAAAAAATGGAACAGTGGTGGCGGTTATATCTTAGGGATCATTTAGGTGCAGATAGGAGGATTAAACTCTTATTGGTTGAATCAAATTAGACTTAGAACTTTACGGGGAAAGGAGAGAGAGAGAGGCCCATAGCTTTGGGGTTGGGAGAGGAGGTAGAGGAGGAAGAACGGAGTGCAGCCCAATAGAGTCCAGAGGACGGGGCGCGGCCGGCGGCACTTCCCGTCACTTGCAGCGCACCCGCGATCGGATGGGCTTCTAGGGTTCTTCGGTAGGGTCCAGTGGCGGCGTCAAACCTCGTGTCTCGCGCCCCGGCCTCCACCTCTCTCTTATAGCGCTGTGTGACAGGGGCCCATCGACCAGTGGTCGGTTGTGTGTCCCCGATCAGGACACGGCCAAGGGGTCCGACTCAGTCGTTGGACTGAGTCGGATGAGATCAATCCTAACATTCTCCCTCTTGATCTCACCTTATGACTTAAACTTAACTTACTTACTTTATCTTGTTCCCATTCCATTACAGATCAGTGTATAGAGCGTGCCTCATCGTCACGGTCAGTTGCCATTAGACTTAACAGCTACAATGCATCTCTCTGTTTTGAAACAGATACTCAACTAGGCCCTTAGTATTCAGAAATCATAGGCTTTCCAATAAATCCATGTCGACTGTGGTTCTCTGAACGCACTGGGTGGTTAGCCTTTGGTAAGCGGATTCGCAAGTACTTACTCGGTACTAATGTGCTCCATGCTTTCAAAATGATTCTAGATTTTCTCCTTTACAACATATAACTTAGTGTCAATGTGTCTGGCAGCACACTTGACCTATTGTCTTAGGAGTTAACTTACTTTAAATGGTTATTGCTGGTGTCTACCATTATTAAATCTGGGTACAAATTCCCTTAACCTCTTTTGCCTGTTTCTTAGGCCTCATGTCAAGCTATACTATGGCATGCTTCACTGATGACACCACAACTGTTTCTTTGAAACTTTTCCACAATAATTCTCCAACTGCGAGTGTTAGCAACTGTTGTGGATTTCACTACATATCTCGCCAAGACGTAACTTTTGTACCCTCAACTATTTGAGAGTACTTATTCTTTCTTACTCAGCATGAGGCCTATGATATTGCGCTAAATTATAAGACATTCTCAACTGCATTCCAGTGATCTACATCTGGACCGGACTTCTGCCAAAATATCCCGGATATGTAAACTACATCAGGATAAGTTCTTACTTGTACTTGTACACTCATCAAGCTTCCAACAGCAGAAGCATATGAAACCATGTTCATTTGATCGATCTCATATCGGTTCCTGGAACA